TTCTCCCCCTCCAGGAAAGAAGAGGCCAAGCCTCTGAATGAATAAATGTCATGTTCACATGGAAGACAACATAGACAATACCAAACTTCTCCTAAAACAATACAGCCTCTGCCAGCGGAAGGATGCTCAGCGCCTCCCTTGCCAGCCTAGTACAAACCAGCGTCTTCAACAGTGACACACACAAACCCCACGGGCCAAACAAAGCCACCGTCATTTTTCCTGCCCAGTAGCATCTGTAAACAAAAAAGAAAACATCATTTGTTGACCCCGAACATATAAAAATACTATAACAAAATGAAATACAAATATATATTAGAATCTGTAAGTATTCTGTATAAAGAGATACTTTAGCGGTTAGCTTACAGCAAGAACAGAAACACAACACAACCAAGCCCCGGCCAGGCCACGGGCAAAATGAGACGTGTCCCGGCTCCTCCGTGGGGCAGAGGGGGCGCCCGTGGAGAGGGCGGCTGTGGCAGAAACCCGTCCCTGCAGCGGTGGGAACGTCCTGGATGCTGGTGGTGAGCAGGGGTGGTGATGGCACCCGTGGAGCTGGCTGCGCCTGGTGGAGATTCCCGGAGCCCGGCCGCAGCCGGTGGCGCAGACCTGAAGTGCTGGAGGGGTGCGATGGGGGGGCTGCAGCCCTGCGATGACTTTGCTCACCCGGGTGACGTGGTGACGCACTGTCCAGCTGCGTGCCGTGTCCCGGGTCAGGCCCCCACCATCCTCGGCCCCCAGGGGCGTAGAAGCGATGCTGCTGCGGAGGTCAGGTGCGTGCAGTACCCAGCACGGGCTCCCTGTGCTGCACCGGCAGCGGCACAGCCCCTGCTCCCACGCCAGCCCAGCGCATCCCCCGGCACGGCAGGCTTTGGAGGGGTGCTGCCCAGGAACCAGCACCCGAGTCCAGGAGCTGATGGGACCAGCCTTGGCAGCGGTGCCAGCTCCAGGCTTGCAGGCTTGGGCCTCTTCAGCCTCTTCAGCCGGCCCCAGCACCCACAAGGCTGAAGCCCTGGTGGCGAGCATGGCAAACCCACAGCCCGGCTGCCCCAGCCCAGCAGAGCCCCCCAGGGCTGAGCCTGGAGGAAAGGGGTTCCTGTGCTGCCCCACACGGCTCCCACCCCTGAGCAGAGCCGCCTGGGGTATTTGGGGCCCCCTCTGCAGCAATGGCACAGTGCTGGGCCCCATGGCACGGAGCAGGGCTGGTGCTGGGACCCCCCCAGTTGTCTGCACCCCACTGCCTGTGACCAACTCAGCATGCCTGGGACCACCCCAGTCCTGCTCCACCCAGCATGGCCCCAATGCCACCGCAATGGGCTGAAGCCATGCCCGGGGGGGGGGGGGGCGCGCCCCA